ACGGGTGGGGACTGTGGAGCCCCCATTTACGGAGGAGTGAGGGGAGGGCTTGTAGATGGGCCGTGGCATGTATTCAAATGGTTAATCTGCTTTCTTTCCTCAATTCTTAGCGTAAGCTCCTTAGAGGGAATCAAGTAAGTAATTATACAGCAACTCCTAGCAGCACCCATTTCAGACTTCCTGGGAAGAAGTTTGGAAACGCTAACAAACCCCACGGGTCTTGCAAAAGTCTTCGGAAAGGCAAGACAGGCAGGGAGAGATCATTAACAATCTTGCTTTGAATACCTTTTTTTCAGTGTGGTAACGCAGAAAGAGAGTTTATTATTATCGTGCAGTTTACACAATGCTTAGGGTTATATCTCATGTCCTAAATATAGATATGGGATTTACTATGTTCCTGTCAGTGCTCGGCAAAAGGAAATCTTACCTTGATTCACCTATATCTCTGTACAACAAAAAGAGATGTTCTTTTTCCTGAGTTGATGGTTTAGTCACTAAATAACCAGTTCTTACCCTTCTTCATAGTTTTTTGCAACCATCCATCTTCCATTCTATGATAATAATATATAATAATAATGTGTATATTAATAGTAACACAGCATACACATGTACCTGGCAGCCCCTGTTCTAAGCACTTCATACTTATTGACTCAATCTTCCTAATCCCTTGGAAGTAAGTACTCTTATTATCCCCGTTTTACAGATGAGAAAGGGGAGGCACAGAGCAATTCAGTAATTTGTCCCAGGTCATAATGCTAGAAAATGGGAAACTCAAGGGATTCTGAATTCAGAGTCTATAATTTAATTGCTACAGTATGTGGTTCTCTCTGTTTCTCTCTCTGTTTTTCTTTCTTTCTTTCTTTTTTTTTTTTTTGAGACAGAGTCTCTCACTTTGAAGTTTTCCTTTCCAGCTGGGAGCTGGGGGCTTTTGTGTTGATGAATGGGGCCCGTCTACTAGGCCAGAGTTTTGGGGTGGAGTGGAGTAGTGCAGACTCGGCTTACTGCAACTTCCACTTTCCGGGTTCCAGCGATCCTCACACCTCAGCCTCCCAAGTAGCTGGGACTACAAGCCCGGGGAACCATGCTCAGTTAATTTTTTTTTTATTTTATTTTTTTTTTTAGTACAGACAGGGTTTTGCTATGTTGGCCAGGCTAGTCTTGAGCTCCTGACTGCAAATGATCTGCCTGCCTTGGCCTCCCAAAGTGCTCAGATTACAGGCATGAGCCATCGTGCCCGCCCAGTTTCTTTTTTCTTTTGTACAAAAAATGTCATGCTCCCTAAGTTACTGTCCATATGTGAGGTTCCTAAAGAAGCTGAGGGGCAATTTGCAACTCCTCACCACCTGCTGCTTCATCACTGTGGATCTTTTTTCAGAATCTCTCCTCAGGTTTCTAAGACCTTAGCCCATGTCTCCTCATTCCAGGTCCTCCTACTTGGTCATTTTAAGATACATTTCCTCTGAATGTCCTCAGCCTGATACGTTGAGATTTCTAAATCTTGTAATGATCCTGACTTAATATATGAAGTAAAATACAGGGACATTATAAGAGCCTTTATTTAATTAAGCACTACATTTTAAACAGGATACCACTGCAAACTTTGCATCACTAAACATTGGAGGGAAAAAAAGAGCTCTGAGTATTCTATTGTTAGCCTTTGAAAAAAATTGTACCATATCTGTAGTTAACATTATTTGTATTTTCCTTATCTTTTGTGTAATGCTTGTCAAGAAAAAAACATTTTGAAGAGCCTCAATCTGCAGTCAAGCTGTTTGGGTTTCAACAAGGGCCTTACCACTTTCCAGCTGTGTGACCTTGGGAAAGTCAACCAACTTTGCATAGCTCAGATGCCTTATCTGCAAAATTGACAAGATAATAAGAGAACTTATCCAGTGACATCCTGTGAGCATAAAGAGATAAAATATGCAAAGTGCTTAGCATGGTGTAAGGCATGTGGACAGTGAAAACAAACTAGAAAATAAACCAAAAATAGAATATTATTATTATATATCAATACTTAAAGTAACATTCTTTTGCTGCCTGTTCATGTTTACAATTTTCAAATGTACATAGGAAAGTCTTCTTTAAGCATTTTTCACTAACAGTTCTCTGAAGACTTCTCAGACCCTAGGAAGTGATTAGAAGTTTTTTCTTTTTTTTTTGAGAAAATAGTATTGACCTTAAACAAAGTTGTATTCTATTTATTAATTTAAAAAACTTATTTTTCAAAAATAGAAATGGGGTCTCACTGTGTTGCCCAGGTTGGTCTCGAACTCTTGGCTGCAAATGATCCTCCTATCTCTGCTTCCCTAAATGCTGGGATTACAGGCAGGAGCCACCATCCGTGGCCCAATGTTATATTCTTTAATTCAATAAAAATGCGGTCATGTCCTTAAGAGTTAGTATCATCTTTTGTGATAATTATGTCTTCACATGAAGTTTATATGTTTAAAAGGATTGTGGGGCCAATAGCAAACATGTATTGTTTTTATTCCATCACATCTCTGGAACCTCACAGCTGCTTTCATTGAAGTTGTTGGCTTCTCTTTCTCTACTTGAAAAAGTTTCTCTTTACTCATCTTCCTAAGACTTCTGCCTGAACTCCCTTCAGTCAAGCAACTATCTCATTTTAATAGAAACTCAGACTTTTTACAGCTAGAGGGAATCTCAGATATCAACTGGTCTGCTTGCATTTTTTTTTATTACAGATAAGCAACTAGCCCAGGAGGGAGAAGAAAGCGGCTGAGGGGGGGTGAAACGGAAGGGAGTTAATATGTTTCTTGCCTGAGGACATGTGCCTTTTTTTTTTTTTTTTTGAGACGGAGTTTCGCTCTTGTTACCCAGGCTGGAGTGCAATGGCGCGATCTCGGCTCACCGCAACCTCCGCCTCCTGGGTTCAGGCAATTCTCCTGCCTCAGCCTCCTGAGTAGCTGGGATTACAGGCACGTGCCACCATGCCCAGCTAATTTTTTGTATTTTTAGTAGAGACGGGGTTTCACCATGTTGACCAGGATGGTCTCGATCTCTTGACCTCGTGATCCACCCGCCTCGGCCTCCCAAAGTGCTGGGATTACAGGCTTGAGCCACCGCGCCCGGCCGGACATGTGCCTTTGATAACTCTAAGGTATAAACTTAAAGTGGACCATTTTTTAGATTCATGCCTTCTGAATGCTTCCACCTCTTTGGTTGAGATTTCTAGATTCCTTGATAAGGCACAGCCTGATGAGCAGATGAATCTTAAAAAAAAAATTGGATGGGTTACCTGTCCCAGGCCAGAGAGGAATCCTGTAATAAGTTATTACAAACGTGTACCATGTGCTTTCAGCCTGGTCCAGAAGTGATGCCATGACAATGTCCCTGCTCCTAATGACCATACCTCCAGACCCATTTTTCAAATTCTTGTGCCATCAAAGCACATTCCTAAAGATCTTTGGGTTTTGTAGTGCAGGCTGCGGTAGGACTAGGTTTTTAGGCTTAATAAATGTAATTATTAGGACATAGTTATTGTTCCTGCTCTCTAGGCAGGCACTGTAAAAACCCTGACAGGTTTAAAATTTTTTTTTTGTTTGAGATGGAGTTTCACTCTTGTTGCCCAGGCCGGAGTGCAATGGCGCAGTCTCAGCTCACCACAACCTCCAACCTCCGCATCCTGGGTTCTAGCGATTCTCCTGCCTCAGCCTCCTGAGTAGTTGGGATTACAGGCATGTGCCACCACACCCAGCTAATTTTGTGTTTTTAGTAGAGACAGGGGTTTCTCCATGTTGGTCAGGCTGGTCTCCCAACCTCAGATGATCCGCCCACCTCAGCATCCCAAAGTGCTGGGATTACAGGCATGAGCCACCGTGCCTGGCCAAAATTTTTTAATTAAAATTTTAAATTATCATTCTCAAATAATGTTATCAAGAACCTAGATGTATTTCCTGTGTGATCTGAAGCAAGCACATTGTCACGTTGGCTTTGGAGTTTCTGTTAAGTCTTTTTTTTTTTTTTTTAAAGACGGGGTTTCACCATGTTGGTCAGGCTGCTCTTGAACTCCCAACCTCAGGTGATCCGCCCGCCTTGGCCTCCAAAGTGCTTGGATTACAGGCGTGAGCCACCACTCCTAGCCTCTGTTAAGTCTTAGTAGCTACAACAAGGTAAGTAGAAAGTAGAAGGTGCTTATGAAAGAGCGTTGAATTGATAGGAAAGTGATTCTCAAGGTTGACTGCATGAATTTAGAGCAACTAAAAAGTACTAATTGTGAAGCCCTATTCTAGTATGGAAAAAATAAGCTTGATGGAAACTTTGGTATAAATCAAATGATTATATCATATCCTGTTAACTTTATAGTCTTGAGTAATTAAAAAATGTTACTGCTATTGTGTATTCTGTGAATGTTTATTTTTTTTCCGTGAAAATTTATTAATGTCAACAGTGTGCTGATGAGTCGATAGTATCAATACTACAGAAAGATTAAGGGAGATGAGAACTGAAAAGAAGTGTCTAGATCTCACAATTAAAATGGACTGCAGTTTTGCATTTCAGATTCTGAGATAGTCATTGACTCATTCCTAATAACCCTGCTCGGAATCTCACTAGCATTAGAAAGATTGGAGATGTTTCAGCATCAGAGTTTTGGGATGCTTCTTGATAACGATCAGATAGTAGTTGTTTTGAAATGTCAAGAGCATTTCTGTGGTTCTTCATGTGGTCCTAATGGAAATGTTTTCTAAGTAATTTCTTGACAGTTACAGCATTTTGAGATACAGTGGGAAGGGCTTGTGATTTTGAAGCTAGAGGATCTGGGTTTGATTCCTAGCCCTGCTGTTTATTATCTGGGAAATCCAGTACTACACACTCTGGATGCTCTGGGGCAGTTTTCTTATCTATAAAATGGGCATATATCTACTTCACGGGGTGGTTATGCAGAGTCAATGAATGTGAAACGTTTAATAAACTGTGAAGTCTCATACAGATTTCTATTCATCATCGTCATTATTATTATTTTATTTAACTTTGTAAAAAATATGGAACACTTCATGAATTTGCCTGTCATCCTTGCGCAGAGGCCATGCTAAACTTCTTTGAATTGTTCCAGTTTTTTAGTATATGTGCTGCTGAAGCAAGCACTCCATTTATCATTATTATCCTCTATGAGAATTTTACTTTTTCCAGACTTGAGGGGAGGGAGATATTGCAGTATTTTAGTATGTTCTTTACAAATGGGTCTGTGAATGATGCACCTGTGCGTGTTGTTACATCTTTATAGTGGCTACCACAACTTCACATATTATTTAGTACTGTTATGTTTGTGAATGTCACAAACCCAAGTTAAACTGCCTGAAGCCAAAAAGGAAATTTATTGAAAGACATAGTTGAGGCTGGGTTTGGTGTCTCACTCCTACAAATCCCAGCACTTTGGGAGGCTGAGGTAAGAGAATTGCTTGCGCCCAGGAGTTCGAGAACCAGCCTGGGCAGCACAGTGAGACTCTGTCTCTACAAAAAATGCAAAAATTTAGCTAGGCATGATGGTGTGGCATTGTGGTCCCAGCTACTTGGGAGGCTGAGGTGAAACAATCACTTGAGCCCAGGAGGTCAAGGCTGCAGTGAGCTGTGATCGCGCCACTGCACTCCAGCCTCAGCAATAGAGCAAGACCCTGTCTCAAAGAAAATAGATATATAGTTGAAAAGATACAGATAATTAGGTTGATCCATTTGAGACTGATTTTTTTTTCTAGGCAGAAATAGTCAAATATTGACAATTTTATTTGGTTCAACCTAATATAAAATGGAGGCTCAAACTATGTCATGCCAATCTTGTTTTTCTTTCCATCTCCTGGCTCTGAGATGACTCCATTCTTTTTTTTTTTTTTTTTTTTGAGACGGAGTTTCGCTCTTGTTACCCAGGCTGGAGTGCAATGGCGCGATCTCGGCTCACTGCAACCTCCGCCTCCTGGGTTCAGGCAATTCTCCTGCCTCAGCCTCCTGAGTAGCTGGGATTACAGGCACGCACCACCATGCCCAGCTAATTTTTTGTATTTTTAGTAGAGACGGGGTTTCACCATGTTGACCAGGATGGTCTCGATTTCTTGACCTCATGATCCACCCGCCTCAGCCTTCCAAAGTGCTGGGATTACAGGCTTGAGCCACCGCGCCTGGCCGACTCCATTCTTAAACATGTTCTCCTTTGATGTAAAGTGGCTGTCAGTGGCTCTGGAGCCACCTCCTCATGTCCACTGGGAAATAATAAGGGTTTTAATCTTAACTATTCCCAGCAAAAGTTTCAGTTGCATCTTAGGGGCTCTGCTTAGATCGTAAGCTCATTGGAGAATCAGTCAGTGAAACCAGGGTCATGATGTGTTCCCACGGCTTAGTCTTGGGCTATATACTCAGTCCTTGAGATCATGTACTAATGGGTGGAGTCCAGAGAGAAACTGGGGTAAGGCTATTGGGAGAATGGCGAACAGATGCTGGGATGCAAAAATAACAGGTGTCCAGCATACCTTATCGGATAAAATTGACGGGCGATGTTATTCCCATTTTATATGTGAAGATGCACTTGAAAAAGCTACAGAAATTTCTTGAGCGGGTAGCTCTGGAATAACTTACAGAATTGAAAGGAGAAAAGCATTGGAAACACTATGATAAAAGGCGTGGTGATCTGTGCTCATGTGAACATGTTGCAACTTTAAGTTTAGAAGGAGAACAGGGCAAAGAAAGACTTTTAGAAGGTTTATCGGGATCCTAAAGTTTTCTTATTTGGAGCAGAACTTTGTGATAGGAAAGTTCTGGAAATTGAGCTGAGATCAGACTACAGGATCCCTTGAGTCCAGTGTAGTATTTCATTTTTCTGGGAATCTTAGGCTCTTGCTCCTTTTCCAATTTACTTCACTCCAATGTTTATGTTCCTAAGACTTTGTCCCTTTTCCAAGCACTAGTCCTCAGCTATAAGGATGGGGTAGAGAGAAAGAAGCTTCAAGAGTCTGGAGACAGGATAAGATGCTTCTGTGGAAACACAATACATCTTGGAACATATCTGAGCGTCCTTAGCACTTCACCTATGGACTTCTCCCGTAAATGGTAGAACAGGTATCCATAACGCCTTATTGGATTAATTCAGAAATGCCAGATATATGTACTCTTTGCTGATGCTAACTTTGTTGGTCTCTAACTGAAGTCTTATCTCTAATCACATTGGCTGAGAAAATGGAGACATTATCATTCCGAAAGTAGGATGGTTAGCTTTTACATTTGGGCACTTTTGATTTAGGATAGCACTGAAAAGAAATGTAAGTCTTTCCTAGATAATGACAGACTAGACAATTTGAAGTTTTACTTTTGGTCATTAGCCCTCAGATCATGCCTGACCCCCAGGTTATTGGAAACAGTGAGAAATGAATGAAAGGAGGAAATGTAATTATCATTCTGTGCATTGAATAGTTGAGCCACTATTACCATGGATACGATGGCGTGTTTATTGTCCAGATCTTGAGATCCAAGTTTGCAAGCAATACCCAAGGTCTCCTTTAAATTTATGTACTATCAGCCAATAACACATGAAGATTCCTAGTATTTCCTCACTGATCTACTGATTCACATTAGGTGACAGCGTAAGTGCCTTTGAAGGTGTTGAGGAAACCTGAAAAAGAGGAAAAGGAAAGTAGGTACACTTCTGTATTGCTGGACATTCTTAGACTCCTATATAAAAATATTCTGTCTTACAGTGTCAGTGATTTGCATGTCACTTTGGCCCCAGTTCTTTGGTTTTTATCTCATTAACAAAGAGAACATTTCCTGCGTAAAGGTTGAAAAAAATCAAAATCATTTATTTTTTGAGATAAGGTCTCACTTGATCACCCAGGGTGGAGTGCAGTGAGGTGAACACTGCAGCGTCCACTTCCTAGGCTGAAGCGATCCTCTCGGCTTAGCCCCTTCAAGTAGCTGGGACTACAGACACATATCACCACACACAGTTAATTTCTATATTTTTTGTAGAGATGGGGTTTCTTCATATTGCTCAGGCTGGTCTCAAACTCCTGAGCTCAATTGATCCTCCCGCCTCAGTGCCCCAAAGTGCTGGGATTATAGGCATTAGCCACCATGCCCCACCAGAATAATTTATTTTATCAGAAAATTCTTAAAGTTGAATTTAAGAATGGAAGCATTTTATCTGAAATATGGCAATCCTACCCACACTTTAGTCTCACTAGAAGGGAGGTGATACATGCTAGCATGTACTTCCACACTGGTTTAATTTTGATGTAGGGGAGGGTGTGGAGGATACTTTTTATTGCAAGAAACAGAAAACCCAACTCAAAATGGCCTACACAATAAACGGTATTTCTTGGCTCATATGAGTAAAAAATACTGAGGCAGAGTGGGGTTCAGGCGAGGTACAGTCAGGGCTCCAGTTCTCTTTTTTTTGTGTGTTTTTCTTGACCTTACTCCCCTCTAAGTTTCACCTTTGTGTTCAGTCTGGCTTCCCATATGATTGTGATATGGCTGCCAGGGCAAATGTGGCTACGTGTTTCCTTGATCCTGTCTAGGGGGAATTCAACTTTGAGAAGGTTTCAGTTATGTTCTCAAAAGTATTATTTCATCACAATAACTTACAGAATGTTATAATTTCTAAGGACCCTAGATAAAGTCAGCTAGCTCCCTAAACTTGGCATATCATCAAAATCACCTGAGGAACTTTAAAAAGTATATAGATTCTTAAATCAAAATCCATCCTAGCTAAAGCAGGGATATAAAAATCTGTATTTTAAAAATATTTTATTTTATTTTACTTTCAGTTCTGGGATACATGTGCAGAATGTGCAGATTTGTTACATAGGTATACATGTGCCATGGTGGTTTGCTGCACCTATCAACCTGTCATCTGTTTTATTTTTTATTTTTAAAATTTTTTCAATTTTTATTTATTTATTATTATTCTTTTAGTGACGGGGTCTCCCTATGTTGCCCAGGCTGGAGTGCAGTGGCTGTTCACAGGTGCCGCCCCACTGCTGATCAGCACTGGAATACTATCAGCACTGGAGTTTTGACCTGCTGCGTTTCCTACCTGGGCCGGTTCACCCCTCCTTAGGCAAACTGGTGGTACCCCCGCTCCCAGGAGGTCACCATACTGATGCCCAACTTAGTGCAGACACCCTATTGGCATAGCGCACTGCAGCTGAGAACTCCTGGGCTCAAGTGACCCTCCCACCTCAGCCTCCCAAGTAGCTGGGACTACAGGCACACACCACCGTGCCTGGCGTCATCTAGGTTTTAAGCCTCACATACATTTGGTATTTCTCCTAATGCTCTCTCTCCCCTTGCCCCCCACCCCCTGACAGGCTCCAGTGTGTGATGTTCCCCTCCCTGTGTCCATCTGTTCTCATTGTTCAACTCCCACTTATGAGTGAAAACATGCGGTGTTTGGTTTTCTGTTCTTGTGCTAGTTTGCTGAGAACGATGGCTTCCAGCTTCATCCATGTCCTTGCAAAGGACATGAACTCATTCTTTTTAATAGTTGCATAGTATTCCATGGTGTATATGTGTCATAACCAACCCAAATGCCCATCAATGATAGACTAGATAAAGAAAATGTGGAAAATCTGTATTTTTAAGAGTTTCCAGGTGATTCTGAGGTCTGGACAAATTTTGGGAATGTCTGATCTATGTAACCCCTCTCATTTTTTGGTTTTGTAAACAGACTTAGGTATGAACTGACTTGCCACTGCAAATTTTTTCAGTGGCAGTTAAGTATACTCTGTTAAATCTCTTTCTTTTGGATGGGAATGTTACAAGGCAGCTACATTAACAAGGACAGGACTCTAAGTCTGAGGGTAATATGAAGTACTGCCCCATTCCTGGCCACCTCCTTTTTTGGCCAGCATGGCAGGTCCTGAAACCCTCCCTAAATGTCCCACTGTTTGTGTCTTAATGGTATGCTTTGCTCTTACCTTGGACAACTTTAAAGTCCCCCTTCCCCCAGACCCTACCAAGGTCATTAGATTTATTGAGGTAAACAACTGTTGCAGGTCCTCTGATCTTTTCTCACCTAAGTCAGGAATTAATCTCAGAGCACTCCTGACATAGCCCACTGGCTTCTAGAGAAGCTGTTTGTTCTGCGCTTGGAATGGAAG